CATCACAGGCCCTGATGGGGCTGTTCTAAGTTACTGAAGCTGCTCAGTTACCACCTCCCACTCGCGGTACAAGCAATATGGCCCCAGCAGCAGGGGCTGCCCAGCCCACTTGCCAATGCAGCAGGGGCACCAACGAGACCCCCTCAATTTTGCAAGCACTTTCCACCACCCTGCTCGGCCCCAGAACTCCTCGGCTCCACTCGGGGGGTGCAAGCAGAATCCTTGCCTATGGGGCCCTGGCACTGGCCAGCCCAAGGACCGCTCCTGGGGGGGCCACAAAGAGGAGCTGCTGCATAGAGCCCCAGGCATTGGCCTGTGGGCGGAGTGCCAGGCCCTCTCACAAACTCCTGACTGGAGCGCCTCAGCACAGATTGACACTTCCCCTGCACACGGGCTGCCACCGCCGTGCCCCTCCTCCGGGGGCCAGTGGGATCCTGCAGTGCAGTGGGGGGACCTTGTGACACATGGGGCAAGCGGCTTTCCAGCCCCACACATTTCCCTCCCCTGCAAAGCTAGTAACTGCATAGACAGCCCCCTTCCCTGCAAAGGCCACAGCTGCACTGCCAGGGACCCTGCAATCCCCAACACTGCCACAGCCCCCCTCAGGGTACTCACAAGGCCCCGAGGGCATTGGTAACAGGCGGGGTTCCCACAACACCCCCAGGGCATTGGTAACAGGCGGGGTTCCCACAACACCCCCAGGGCATTGGTAACAGGCGGGGTTCCCACAACACCCCCAGGGCATTGGTAACAGGCGGGGTTCCCACAACACCCCCAGGGCATTGGTAACAGGCGGGGTTCCCACAACACCCCCAGGGCATTGGTAACAGGCGGGGTTCCCACAACACCCCCAGGGCATTGGTAACAGGCGGGGTTCCCACAACACCCCCAGGGCATTGGTAACAGGCGGGGTTCCCACAACACCCCCAGGGCATTGGTAACAGGCGGGGTTCCCACAACACCCCCAGGGCATTGGTAACAGGCGGGGTTCCCACAACACCCCCAGGGCATTGGTAACAGGCGGGGTTCCCACAACACCCCCAGGGCATTGGTAACAGGCGGGGTTCCCACAACACCCCCAGGGCATTGGTAACAGGCGGGGTTCCCACAACACCCCCAGGGCATTGGTAACAGGCGGGGTTCCCACAACACCCCCAGGGCATTGGTAACAGGCGGGGTTCCCACAACACCCCCAGGGCATTGGTAACAGGCGGGGTTCCCACAACACCCCCAGGGCATTGGTAACAGGCGGGGTTCCCACAACACCCCCAGGGCATTGGTAACAGGCGGGGTTCCCACAACACCCCCAGGGCATTGGTAACAGGCGGGGTTCCCACAACACCCCCAGGGCATTGGTAACAGGCGGGGTTCCCACAACACCCCCAGGGCATTGGTAACAGGCGGGGTTCCCACAACACCCCCAGGGCATTGGTAACAGGCGGGGTTCCCACAACACCCCCAGGGCATTGGTAACAGGCGGGGTTCCCACAACACCCCCAGGGCATTGGTAACAGGCGGGGTTCCCACAACACCCCCAGGGCATTGGTAACAGGCGGGGTTCCCACAACACCCCCAGGGCATTGGTAACAGGCGGGGTTCCCACAACACCCCCAGGGCATTGGTAACAGGCGGGGTTCCCACAACACCCCCAGGGCATTGGTAACAGGCGGGGTTCCCACAACACCCCCAGGGCATTGGTAACAGGCGGGGTTCCCACAACACCCCCAGGGCATTGGTAACAGGCGGGGTTCCCACAACACCCCCAGGGCATTGGTAACAGGCGGGGTTCCCACAACACCCCCAGGGCATTGGTAACAGGCGGGGTTCCCACAACACCCCCAGGGCATTGGTAACAGGCGGGGTTCCCACAACACCCCCCAGGGCATTGGTAACAGGCGGGGTTCCCACAACACCCCCCAGGGCATTGGCAATGAGGCAGGGTTCTCACAACACCCCCAGGGCGTTGGTAACAGGCGGGGTTCCCACAAGTCCGCCCCAGGGGGAATAGATGCTCTGTGACAGAATCCAGGGCAGGGCGGAGCCTGGCTGTGCCGACTCTCCCGGCCGGGACCCCATTTGCTGCAGTGACGTGGGGGCCCTGTGCTCCGGGTGAGCTGGCAGTGGAACTGGGTCGGAAGGCTCAGGGAGCTGGCGACGGGCATGGCGCGTAGGCCAGAGGGCACAGGGGCAGGGGGCAGGCGTGCTGCCAGCCGGAGGAGCGGCGCTCCGAAGGGCAAACCACCGCTTGTCTCCAGCCACAGCGCAACTTCCTAGCCCTGTGACCCCACCAGTGGCCGAGTGGGGTCGAGTGCAGCCCGCAGGGCCTGGCGAGAGCCGGAGGAGGTTGGGGCTGGGCCCAGCTGGGGGGTGGGGTGGAAGGAAGCCAGAGGCCCAGTACTGAGCTCATGGTGGAGGGGTCAGCCGGAGCCCATACACAGCATAGGGCACCGCCTGGCAGTCCCTTCCATATTGCCCCAGCCCTGCCTTGGCCAGGGCAGGCAAGACCAGCTCTTCCGGTCCTCTCTGCTGAGAAAAGCCACCTGCCCAGGCTGCTCTGGGCATGGCCCCCAAAGCCCAGCTCCCCTGAAGCCATGCTTGTCTTTCCTCTCCCTCCCAGCAGCCTGGGAGCCAGTGGCCAAATGACAGCACCGGGCAGCGTCCCACCGCTTCCCTCCAGCGTGTGCTCTTCTCCCCGCTGGCCTGCGCGCTCCTCCCCCCTTCCCGCCAGACCACAACAGAAGCAGCCCAGGCCCCCTGCCACGTGAGCTGCCGGAGCCCACGGCCCTGTCTGCAGCAGAGTGCTCCGGGCTGGCAGGGGATCCCTGCTCCAAGGGGAGAAAGCAGTGGCCAGTAAGGCGACAGTGCTCACTTCGGTGTGCTCAGCCAGCTGCCTTCATTCCTATCTCCAGGCCCTTGCTCCTCTGGTGGGGAGCAGCAGTGGCAGAGAGGGCCGAGGAGACACCAGAGAGAGAGAGAGCGAGAGAGCGGACCAGACTAGACTCTAGCTAAGGCCTCCTGGTTGCATCCCGCCCCAGCGTGCTCCCTGCCAGCCAGGGGCCCCGAGGGAGTGGCAGGGGGGGGGGGGGAGCCGAAGGGTCCAGAGAGAACAGGCTGGAGGTGACGTGACCGGGCGAGGAGCAGCCTTGTTCACACCTCGCCATGCTTCCCTGGAGCCCTTTGCTCATACAGAGGCAGGCTGGGCAGCCAGCAAAGCCCTGTGGCTTTCCCCCAAAAGACAGGTCCGAGAACCCCCTGCCCGCCCCGTGCACGTGCTCAGAGAGACAGACAGACAGACAGACAGACGGGGTCCCTGGGGGTGGCAGAGAATGGAGAACGAATGGCTTTGCTTTGTGTCATGCAGCAGCAGCAGCCTCGAGCACAGAAATACCTTCATCTTCGTCCCCTTCATTATCCGCTAAGTCCTCGCCCTGTTTCTTAGCGCTGGCTCCTAGGGACCAAACATGAGGAGACAGAACAAAAAAGAAAAACAAAAAACAAAACCAAAAGAGAATTCAAAAATAGCATGACAGCAGAGAAGGGCAGGCCCACAGCACCGCCGGCTACTCACACGGAAGCTCTCCGGGGCCGGGCAGGGCCGTCTCTCCAGGCTGCCTGGCATCCTGCCCCGAGGCTGTGCGGGACAGGGGAGCGCAGGCCTTACTGCCAGGGAGCTGCCTCCCCGCGGCTTCTTCTCTGGGCCTGCCCACTGGCTCCCCTCCAGCTGGGCCCGCCAGCCAGTGTGGCCCCGGAGCCCCATTCCATACTGCTCATTCCCTCTGTGCCCGGCAGGAAAGCGCCTGAGCTGCCCACCAGGGAGAGGGCCAGCCTCGAGCAGAGCCAGGAGCTCATGGTCCTGCCGCCCACGCTCTCAGGCTGCCTTGGCCAACAGGCCAGCCCTAAGAAACAGGTCTGCCGCTGAGACGCGCCTGCACGGAGCGGGACGCACACGCCCCGGCACCTGGCAAAGCCGCCAGGCCTGGGGCACGCCCAGGAGCAGTAGCTGGTCCCTGGACTGGGGGCCCCACCAGCTGGGAGTGCCTGCTTGCCCGGCGCTGGCGTGCGCACTCCTGTGCGTAGGCGGGGCCTGCACCCAGACCAGCAGCGCTTTGCCTCCTCAGCCCCAGGGAGACAGGCCGAGGTGAACCCTAAGAGGTGCTTTGCTCTGCCCCTCCCTTGCTACGTTCTGAGCCAAACATTTGTGCCCCCACTGCCTTGGGCCCCACTGCTCCCCACCAACCTGCCCTTTGCCCTCTGCCTCCCCCCTTGGCACCCACCCTTCACCCCGCCTCAGCCCCACTGCCACTGCGCACCAGCCCTCAGCCACCTCGACCCCCTCCAATCTTCTCCATCTCTGTGCAGAATACTTTTTGTTCAGTGCACTGGGGCACAGGTGAATGTGCACCACCAGAAGAAACAAAACACCTAGCTCTGGGCAATCTCTCCTGAGTGGCTGCCCAAGCGCCCATCTGACAGGGACACTGCCTGGCACGTCCCCTTTGCCTGCCGCTTCAGCCGAGTTCCAAGCAGCCGCACAGGGCTGAGGGGGCCTTCTGGCTGGAGCTGGAGTTGAGTAGGAAGAGGTGTAAGGTACAATCAGAAAGCCACCGACATCTCACCTTCCCTCCTCCCTCTAAATCGGAGCCAGCTCGTTTGGAGGCAGGCCTGACTCACAAGCATGTTGGCCTCCCTTTTGTCTCCCCATCACCCCCACCATGCCAGGGCTCTGCATGCTGCTCGGGGGGGGCACTGGATGGCACCCCCTTCTCACTGCACAACAGGCAGGCTGTGCAGCTGAGGCTCTGTCCTGCCACTCCATGCCAGTTCCAGGCACAGTCAACTGTCTGCCAAGAGGTCCATGTGCCATCAGAGCCCACAGCCACCGAAGTCCCAAGATGAGCCTCACTTCTCTGGGCTGGAGTAATGGCAATGGGCAGAGCTCTGGCACTTGCCACAGCTGAGTGAATGGCTGCATGCTGCAAACAGAGGGCCCGGAGGGAACAGCTGCCAGGACCATCACCAAACTGGCCTGATCGAGCACCAAAGGGGTGACAGACACGGTGGGGAACAGCGTGTGGCTGACATTCCTGGGGCACTAACTTGGGAGAACCCCAGAACCTCCAGGAGACCAGAGGCAGGGCCAGAGAGGCTGGACATAACAATGGGCTTCTGCTAAGAGAAATACGGTTTGTGGGTCTGGGAAAAAATTGCCAGTGAGAAATGCAAACTGTGGAGAGAGCAGAAAGGCATAAGAGCAGGGAATTAGACAGGGTGCTGATGGTGTTATTGCAATGAAGGGCGGGGCAGCTCTGTGCTGCAAATGCAAAGCATGGCCTGGCCCATGACATGGGAGCCCCCCTCTATATCCCATTCTGGGGAGACACCCCAGGATCCTGTGCTCACCCTCCAAGCCCAAGCCCTTCCTTCCACAAGCAAGAAGGGACAGCCCCTCTGACATAGTTTTGGGAAACTCACAATTTACTAGATGCCCAAAACGCCACAATTTCACAATCAAGGAAGATTACATTAAAAACTCAGGCTGTCTTGGAGGGGAAGTGAAAGCAGATATCTAGATATACAGAAAATGGAAGAAAGCAGAAGTCAATAGCAATGAATATGAATCAGAAGCACTATAGAAAACTGATAAGGGAAGCCAACAGACACAGGGAGAAATCTATGCCCAACAGAAGGCAATAAGAAGGATTCTAAATATAACTAAGGTGGATAAGGAATTGGCTGAAAAGTGAATTATTGGCCTGAAGGGATGTTACTAGTGGAGCCCATCCATGATACACCTTGGGACCAATCTCATTCATAATTTTTATTAACAACCTTTGCAAAAAAGTCAGAGACACGGATGCTAATGAAATTTGCAGATGATACAAAGTTGGAAGGCATCATCAATACAGAGGAAGATCGGAATAAGAGACAGGAAGAGCTGAATGGCCTTGAAGACTGGAGTGATAGAAATGGGAAGAAATTCAATAGCAGAAAGTCCAAGGTCATATTGGGTACGTCTACACTGCAACACTATTCCGAAATAACTCAGTCTGCGTCTACACAGTAGGCAGCTATTTCAAAATAGCATCAGAATCCTGTCGAGCTGGAGGACTTCTTACTCCGACTCCTGTGACCCTCACTGTATCAGGAGCAGGGGCAGGCGGAGGAGGAGTGCTCCATTTCAGAATAAGTGCTGTGTAGATGCTCCCAATTTTCAAATAAGCCACACAACTGACATAGCGCAACGTGTGTAGCTTATTTCGAGTTACGCCCCACTTTGGGTTCCATAGGAGTGTGTGCTACAAGCTGGGGGTTCGTGCCTGGGGAGCGACAGAGGAAGCGGTCTGGAAGTGTGGCTTGATCACAGATGACGATGAGCCATCAAGGAGCTTCATCAAAAGAGCTGGCTGAGGAGCCTGCTGGACTGTCAAAGTTGCTGTTCTCTAAAGCTTTGAACACTGGGGGAGTCCAGTCATCTAAAGCATGGCTGGGAGGGTCCAGGTAGGCACAGGCCTGCCGATCCTAGGCAAGACAATGGAGTGACTGGTGTGGGGCTCGGTCAATAAAGAACGAAAGGAGAGGAAGAGAATCAAAGTTAATCAACTTGGGTTTCTAGAAAAGACTCTGTTGTGCTAACTTGCTGTCTTTTTGATGAGATGACAAGGTTGATTGCTAAAGGTCATAGTGCTGATGTAATACACTTGGACCGCCATGCGGCATTTGCCTTGGTACTCATGGCACATTGATTAAGGTACTAGATCAGTATGGCACATGGGAAATGGGTTACAAGTTGGTTAACTAATGGGCCTCATTGCAATTCGACTTGTTCTAGGTGTGTGTGCAGACATGAATTTTATTCAGCTGAGAGCTGGAAATATCGCGTATCAGTACCCGCAGGGGCAACACTCCTTCCCTAGCCCAAAGATATACCCAGGGGAGCAGTTAAGGGCGGCACTGCCTTGACCCCCCCCTCCACCAGACTCCCAGGTTGCAAATATCAATGCAGAGGCATGGGGGGGGTTGCAGAATACACACCTGCACCCACCGCTCGAAGAACGAGTTATAAGAAGCAGGTAACGGTCTTTGCAAGGTTGTGCAGGAGAATGCGCATAAACTGGTGACTCCTCCAGTCACTGCAGGGGCCTGTCCTGGTCACAGCCTTCACCAAGGGTTTGGATAATGCACAGAGAGTGACTCACATGGACTCGGGGCCCACAAGCAGGCGTAGCAGGAAGGTGGCCCAAAGTCTGTTGAAATAGGGAGCACAGAACTGCCTTCAAAGTGGGCATCCCGTCCTAGTGCTGTCTAAGTAATGTGCGCGAGAGCCCTGCGGACCCCTCACCGCAGACACTGCTAAGGGACGTGCCCGAGAGCCCCGCGGACCCCTCACCGCAGACACTGCTAAGGGACGTGCCCGAGAGCCCCGCGGACCCCTCACCGCAGACACTGCTAAGGGACGTGCCCGAGAGCCCCGCGGACCCCTCACCGCAGACACTGCTAAGGGACGTGCCCGAGAGCCCCGCGGACCCCTCACCGCAGACACTGCTAAGGGACGTGCCCGAGAGCCCCGCGGACCCCTCACCGCAGACACTGCTAAGGGACGTGCCCGAGAGCCCCGCGGACCCCTCACCGCAGACACTGCTAAGGGACGTGCCCGAGAGCCCCGCGGACCCCTCACCGCAGACACTGCTAAGGGACGTGCCCGAGAGCCCCGCGGACCCCTCACCGCAGACACTGCTAAGGGACGTGCCCGAGAGCCCCGCGGACCCCTCACCGCAGACACTGCTAAGGGACGTGCCCGAGAGCCCCGCGGACCCCTCACCGCAGACACTGCTAAGGGACGTGCCCGAGAGCCCCGCGGACCCCTCACCGCAGACACTGCTAAGGGACGTGCCCGAGAGCCCCGCGGACCCCTCACCGCAGACACTGCTAAGGGACGTGCCCGAGAGCCCCGCGGACCCCTCACCGCAGACACTGCTAAGGGACGTGCCCGAGAGCCCCGCGGACCCCTCACCGCAGACACTGCTAAGGGACGTGCCCGAGAGCCCCGCGGACCCCTCACCGCAGACACTGCTAAGGGACGTGCCCGAGAGCCCCGCGGACCCCTCACCGCAGACACTGCTAAGGGACGTGCCCGAGAGCCCCGCGGACCCCTCACCGCAGACACTGCTAAGGGACGTGCCCGAGAGCCCCGCGGACCCCTCACCGCAGACACTGCTAAGGGACGTGCCCGAGAGCCCCGCGGACCCCTCACCGCAGACACTGCTAAGGGACGTGCCCGAGAGCCCCGCGGACCCCTCACCGCAGACACTGCTAAGGGACGTGCCCGAGAGCCCCGCGGACCCCTCACCGCAGACACTGCTAAGGGACGTGCCCGAGAGCCCCGCGGACCCCTCACCGCAGACACTGCTAAGGGACGTGCCCGAGAGCCCCGCGGACCCCTCACCGCAG